CGATTAGTTGAGCCACAAGACTTCAGATATCGAATATTAAAAAAAAAATCAAGAGGAAATTTCATAAATAACAACAGGTTGAGCTATAATTACCGATCATAGTGATAGTTTGGCTAATTACAAGACGTAGCAATAGTTACTTAAAAAATTCACGACACAATGTATCGATTAACATACAAAGCAAAACAAATAAAACTCAAACTCTCATTATGTCTTGTAATTTTTTAGACTCGCGCTATTTCGGATAAATACATGACATATTTGCTATGTTAGGTAATTTTCTCAAAGTGGGCTTTAGTCCATCACAATTCACCTAGACCTTTCTCTTCAATGGTGACTGTTGGACTCAGCTTGCTGTTGAGGCCTCTAATCTAGCAGCCCTTTCCAGTTTGAAAGGGTGGCCCATCATGACCCTAATTTGGGTCATGATCAACACTCGAAAGGCCACCCCAACAACAACATACCCAGTAGTGTAGAGTATACACAGACCTTATCCGTACCTCGTGGTCGTGGAGATAGAGAGAGTTGTTTCCAAAAGGCAACTCAAGCACTCAAACAAATTTAGTCATTCAAACAAACCAACTCCAAGTTTCTTATCTCAAAATACCAATTCAACTACTCAAGTACTTCTAATACAATTTTCTTTGCACTTCCAAATAAAGTTAATTAATACCAAAACAGCAAAAACCAAGAACAAGTCTGTAACACCCCAGAAAATTTTCGAACTAACACTCGAACCGTTCTTCGTAGTGAGTGAGATTTTACCAAGGAATTTAAAATTTCTTAAGTGTTAAGGTCACTAGATGTAGCACCTTGAGTTTCAAAAAGAATTAAATTGAAAATAGCAAAATCTGAAATTTTGCAAGATATGCTTAAGTATGAGTTTTGGGTCGACTTCAAACGACCATAATTCCTAGCTCAGGATGAATTAGGTGTGCTACCAGATACCGTAGGGAAGATATTTGAATTATCTTTCCAACGCCGCTGAGTTTGCTAAGTTTCGAGGTCGGATGAGTGAGATATGACCTTTTGAAGTTAGGCTGTCCAGTTAAGGAAAGTTAGCCGAAAATAAAGAGGGGTATTTTGGTCTTTTCCTTAGCAAAACAGATTTAATTCGTTTTTAGTAATATTTTAGCGGTCTAATCTGATTAGGTTCAGTTTTATAATCCTAAAATTAGCCTAGGGTTTTAGTTGAGAGTTCAAGAAGAGAAAAGAAGAGAGAAGAGGAGAAAAGAGGAGAGGATCAAGCGTTCGTCGAGATTCTTGCGTGTTGTAGCGGATTTTCGCCATGGGTTTGATCCCTAAGAGGTATGTAAGCTTCCATAGTGTTGGGTTCTTTCACCCACACGCCAATCGTGATTTATTCAGCATAATTTCGTTCTTGAAATTTAAAGATTAGAGTTCTTGATGAGTTCTTGATAAGTGTTCTTGAAGTTTCATTAAGTTTTGAAGTAAGATTCTGCTTAGGTCAACTTTAAACGACCATATCTCTTAGAATATTAAGAGTTACGTGAGCCATAACATATCCAATTAAAGGTAATTGAATCTACTTTCCAACCCCACCAGTTTCACGTCAATCCAATATCTGAGTAAAAGGTTATGACTATTTTAGTAACCTATACAGTGCTGTTACGAATTAGCCGACGGAAAAATATTAAAAAGAGTCATTTTTGTCTTTTTACCTCCAAGAAAATCATAAACGAATTTATTGACTAATAAAAGGCTCAAAAGAAGTAGATTTTCATCTTCACTCATGAAAACCATATTTTTTGGCCATAGAGATTTCAAGAAACTAATTCAAAAATCTCAAGAAAGGTTTTCTTGATTGTTTACCTTCAAGCTAGGGTTTCAAGGCTTCTAATCAAGTTCTTCTTCAAGATTCTTCAAGAATCTTGTTCTTCTAGGTATGTAAAGCTATCATAGTGTTGGACTAGTTCATCCTCACACCCTACATCTACTTTCAGATCAGTAAAGAGTAATCTAGGATGTTTTCCCTAGATTTGAGTATTCTTGAGATAAGTTAATTTTGAGTTCTTGAATTCATATTTCTTTTAAAAGTTGTATTCCCAATTATCGAATAGCTATATTGTTATTGAGATCCTTCATATCATGAATCATAACTCTTGAATTCATAATTCAAATTCAAGAGAGAGTTGAGAGTAGAGTTCAAGGAAGCCTTTGAGTTCAATTGTGAATCCTTTGAGATCAACTATCGATTTGAACTAAGTTTTGAGGAAGTAAGTCAGAGAATGAGAAGAGACACATACATGAGTTTCATAATGTTATGTAGACCTACGAGTCAAGTCGTTCATGCCCATAAATTCTGCATGAACTCCAGAAGTTGAGTATCTTTGAGAGGAGTAGTATCTTCAAGTTCTAAGTCTTGAGTATTGAGTTCCTAATCCCCTTTGAGATTATATTTCTAAGCATGAGACTATTACATGTTACCCATAAAGTCTTTGAGTTGAATTGTTCATGCCCATAATTCCGCATGAATCCTATAAGTCGAGCAGTCTTGAGAAGAAAAGTACCTTTGAGTCCTTGAGTTGAGTCGTTCATGCTCATAATTCCGCATGAACCCTCTGAGTTGAGCATTCTTGAAATTAGTAGTATCATTGAAGTTCTTGAGTTCCAAGTATTTGAGTTCTATCTATGGTTATTGAAAACCTTGCATTGAGTAGTTCATGTCCATAATTCGGTATGAACCATATTTTAAGAAGTCTTTTACAAACGTTTTAACTTTGTTTTAAGACTTAAGTTTTGAGTTCAATAAAGAGTAAAGAGTAAAGTTTGAAGTCCTTTTCTTCAAAAGTATATGGGGACTAAGTATTCCCAAGGAGTTTATAAATGTTTTCACATTTAAATAAGAACGGAAACTGAGATTTCCAAAGGGCCTTCGGGCTAGTTTTCAGAAAAGAGTAATTGCTTTCTAAATGAAGCAAGCAGGGAAACTGAGATTTCCAAGATAGTCTTTGAGCTAAGTTTTTGAGCAATTATCTCAAATCAGCAGAAAAAAAGTATGTTTTTAAAACATAAGAGCTAGTATATTTTGGGAGTAGTATTGAGCACCGATATGGGGGAGAGTTCAGACAACTCACAGCCCCCATAAACCATGTAGCCATCATGGGTAGAAAAGGGTCATACTTTTTAGATGAACCTTTTTCACATAGACTAGTGGATCCATTAGTAGTTCAGGTTCTATACCTTTGGCCGGGTATAGGATGCGCTGGCAGCGTGAGATAGATCGCTGTATCATCACTATAGCTCTCATGTGATGGTTGTCGGTTAGAGAAACTCCCACAGAAGTTATTGTATTTTTATATACATCAGTTTATTGTATTTTTATATACATTTCAGAGTTATGTTGTATCCTTTCATACACACAGATTTGACAGCATGTTTTTAAACAGTTTATTTCTTTATATTGCACTTGTTTTAAATTGCTTTATATTGAAATGAGTTCAGTCACATTTAGTTGAGTATTCAAAGTTGAGTATCCAGAGTTGAGTATCCAGAGTCGAATATCATATCTTTGAGTCGAATATTATATCCTTGAGTTGAGTATCTTATCCTTGAGTACTTCTGAGTTGAGTAAGTTTGAGTAATTTTGAGTACCCTTGAGTATTCCTTGAGTTGAGTAAGTTTGAGAAGAGGTAAGTATGTTTCATTCCTATCAAGTTTCAAGCTTATGTTTATGTTTTAGAATTCCCCTTACATGCTCGTACATTCCACGTACTGAGCCATTTAGCCTGCATCTTCTCATGATGCAGACACAGGTATTCAGGATCATCAACAGGAGCTTCGTTGATACATCCAAGAGTTCGAGTTAGCTATGGTGAGCCTCCTTGCTTTCGGAGGATTTCATTTACCTTTCAGTTATATCAGTTGTTAGGATGTCGTGGGTCTTGTCCCGACTTCCATCTTTATCAGTTAGAGGCTTCATAGATAGTCAGTACAGTTGAGAAGTCTGTATCATTTATTTTATTAAATGTTTTAAAGACTAAAGTTGCCTTTTTATGGCGAGTTGTATATATTTTATTATACAGAGTTTTCTTTGGACTTAAAGTTTGTATTTAAGTTTTATGAACTTTTATTTCAGTTTTTAAGCTTTGTATGCTTGAATCAGTTTTCCGCTTGTAGTCAGCCAGGATGAGGGTTCGCTTGGGGACCAGCAATGGTCTTCGAGTGCCGGCCACGTCCAGGGTGTAGGCTCGGATCGTGACAAAGTCACAAGCAAATCGTTCTGCTAGGAGGTTTACACAAACAATGCCCCTTAGCTTGCAAGAATTTCCACATGCACACATTTCGACCTATTTTTATTTGCTTCATACAGTTCCACTATAATACATCTAAGTTGTCGTGGCCTGCGCCTTATCTCCCTTGGTTCCTCAATCTAATGGCTCGCATGGGATGCAAATCAACAAATAGAAACCACTATAAGTCGATGCATGTGTGTCAAACTCTTGACATAACTTTTTCATAAGGACTTGCTTGATTGTATATTTGCATGCTTGGCTTCAGTGAGTTCACCTTCTAATGGATACTTGTTTTCATCAATATTACTGCAAATGCGAAAATTGATTCAGCCTTTGTAAGTAAAAGAATTAAGCAAATATAGTAATTTGAAGTGATAAATACACAGTTAGCTATCAGCAGCAAGGAAAACACCAAAACTAGATACTATCTCTGAGCTTAAACTTCTTTAAATAACTCATTTTGAGCTATTAAGGTTTCACCCATGGAAAATAGTCAGAGAGCCCCCCTGGATCAAAAAAAATATTCTTTTAGGGACAACGTCTCCTTTAAAAAGAGCTCAAGAAGAGCAACAACATCAAGTACCATTGAGTTTAAAGTTCAACACACCTGGTAATACAACAAAAATAATTGCTTGTGCAAAAGAGTATCGTTTCTTGAAACTGGTGCAGAACAGGGAAAAAAACTAACAAGATCCGCAAGCAAAATGAAGCAGAATCTAACAGCACTAATGAAAAATACATAGAGTGCAACTCTTACAGGTTATTAGTCACACAATTGTCTTCATCTGAATAATTTCAGCCTCCGTTGTTGTGGCATTCGTTATCCCTGCTGTGAAAAGGGACAAATTAGGCTCTCAACATAGATTTCTGCCTCAAGACATGGACCAAAGTTGGTAACATCTAGATAGCTGATCATGTTATCCTTTGTATTGTATTTCATCAAGCGACCTCCAAACATGCACAAAAGTTCACCTTCATTTGACGTTAAAATGGTTGGATGCAATGGATGTGTCATAGGATAACCAGGAGACTTGGTGGTAAATATCTTAGTCCAAGATTCTTTTACCCCATACTCCTTCATAACCCAGACATCTGCATGACTCGATGCATAAATATAAGATGCAGAAAGATCACCCCCTAACACTCCTAGCTTCAAAAATACATATTGTTTAAAACAGGATGGTCGCTCTAGCTCTGCCCATTTCTCATCAGCCAAATCAATAGAAATGATGTTCCATTGCTTGTCAAGCCAATGAAGTTTCCCATTGACAAACTTAGCAGAACCAGCCAAGAGCTCTTGACGTCGAAAATCATCAATGCATCTCCAAGAATCCCTCTTAAGACTATATATTTTGACCTCAACACGACTCAAGTGTCCCCTTGTATAAATAGGAAAAATACCCACTACCTTGTAATCATCTTGCAACTCATTGTATGCAAAACCAAATTTGAAATTAACATGTCCATCCAAATAGTAACGGCGACTTACATCAAGTCTAAAATTAGGCAATTTCTTATACTTTCTAATTGATGGATTCCATAGAAACAAGTCGTACAATCCGTCAAATAGACGGATGGAAAAACAAATCAATCCATTGACAACACCCACAAACCAAAGATAATGATTGGGACTTTTACCGGGATAATCCAAGTCAAATGCCTCCGTTACAGGATGGTAAAGCAAAGACCTAAGAGAACAATCCTTAACAACGAAGACAGATTCAGTAGAAACCTTAACCATAACTCCATGGTGGGTGTAGTTCTTGTTACTAGCGGATGAAGAGAGATGAGCCTTCACAAATTCAGGGCTAGAGATTAAGGAAAGCCAAGATTTCGAAACAGATCTAAATTGCAATAGGGATTTCACCGGAAGCTTTAACAAGATTTCTAGGATGAGTTCTGTAGGAAGGTTAGGCATTGGCAAGACTGAATCTTGGCTTAAAATGGACGAAAAATGGGCAGGATTTGTGGGTTTGCTCCGTTTTGGGTGTCGAGGGATGACTTCATCGCCTCTGGATTCCATTTGAGTTGCAGCAACTATAACTCTTGAAGTTGGAGACTAGGTTTAATGTTTTTCCCTTCTTATAGTGAAAGCTCCAAGTTTGGGGAAATAGCAAATTTAGCACTTATGCTATTGCAGAATTGTGTTTATGATCCCTCTATTATATATTTATATCTATATCATATAATCATATATACTATACTATATTATTCTATAAGTGGGAAGCCTCAAAGGTAAAAGTTGAAAGACGAAAACAACCATCAAAAGTTGAACGACAGTTTTTCCCTTTAAGCAAGCATTATTCATCAACTCTTTTGGTGCAAAAAGTTAAATACAAATTGTAAAAAGATAAAACAATTTAGAATTAAGACACCTACTTAAAATGCTGATAAATTATTTCATTTACGAGAAGATGTGATCCGCTTATATAAGTGAATTTTAAATCAATATTATCTACAAACATTATCATTACAAATTTTATTTCATCAAGTGTTACCTTATCTCACAATCTTTATCTATATCATATTAAAAGCACGAAGGTACTTAGAAATGTTTATTGAACTTTTTTGCCCTTCATTAAAGACTCTACGGAGTCGTTTGGTGTGAGGTATTAGCTATAATAATCCCAGAATAAAATGTAGGATTATTTTATCCCACGTCTGGTTGGAGGTATTAGGTAGTCCTTGGATAATTTATCCCCACCATTTTTGACATACTGATGGGATAACTTATCCAATATACATGGTGGAATAACTCATCCCGAGATAATTAATCACAGGATACATGTTCCCAATCAAACGAACCCTACAATCTTTCAGGAACAATCTCTCTATCTCTGCGACATCCGATAACATTGAGTTTAAAGTTCAATACATCAGTAATGCAATCAAAATAACTATTTTTGAAAAGATTATCATTTCTTGAAAATAGTGCAAGAAAGGAAATTGACTAACAAGATCCCCAAGCAATATGAAGCAGAATTTAACAACACTTCAGAAAAATGCAAAGCGTGTAACTCTTACAGGTTATAAGTCACGCGATTGTCTTCATCAGAATCATTTCACCCTCTGTTGTTGTTGGTGAAATCGTGGTCTCATCAGTAAAAAGGGCAAACTAGACTCTTAACATAGATTTGTACCTCATGACATGGAGCTAACTTAGTAACATCTAGATATCTGATAGAGTCATCCTTTGGATTGTATTTCATGAAACGTGATCCAAACTTAAGCAAAATTTCACCTTCATTTGACATTAAAATGATTGGATAGAATATACGTCCCATAGAATCTTCAGGAGACTTGACGGTGAACATCTTTGTCCAAGATTCTTTTACTCCATATTCCTTCATAACCCATACATCAACATGAGTCCACGCGTGATTACAAAACACAGAAAGATCACTCTCAAACACTCCGAGCTTCAAAAATCCACATCCTTTAAAACAGCAGGGCTGATCTACCTCTGCCCATTTCTCATCCGCCAAATCCATAGAAATAATGTTCCAGTGCTTATCAAGCCAATGGAGTTTCCCATTAACAAACTTAGCAAAATCACCCAAGAGCTCCACACCTTTATAATCTTTAACACGTTTCCAAGAATCACTCTTTAGACTATATATTTTGACCTCAACACGACAAAGACTTGCATAACTATAAATAGGGAAAATACCCACTATCTTGTAATCATCTTCGAATTCATCATATGCAAAGCCAAAAGTGAAATAAGGAACAATATGCTCCTCGTAAGACAATTTCTTATACTTTCTAATTGATGGATTCCATATAATAAAGCAATCTATTCCGTAAAATAGATTGATAGCAAGACAAATCAATCCATTAACCGAACCCACAAAAAGAGGAAAAGCATTAGGATTTTTACCTGGATTATCCAACTCAAATGACTCAGGTACAGAATCGTAAAGTAAAGAACTAACAGAACAATACTTAACACCGCGGCAAGTATTAGAAGCCTTAGTTATAACTTCGTGGTGGATGTAATCCTTGTTACTAGCGGATAATAAGAGATGGGTCTTCACAAAATAAGAGGTAGAGATTAAGGAAAGCCAAGATTTTGAAACAGACCGGAATTGTAAAAGCGATTTCACCGGAAGTCTTAACATGATTTCTGTGATGAGTTCTTCAGGAAGATTAGGCATTGAAAAGACTGAATCTTCACTACAAATGGACTGAATTTCTGTAGATTTGCTCCGTTTTGGGAGAATTTCATCTTCTTTGAATTCCATATTTGGGTTTGCATAAATATGAACAGAGTTGGGAATTTTGCTGATGACCCATCCCACCTACACACGAAGATAAAATTTATAGAGTCGATTTTTAATTATTTTAAGTTGTTAATTATTATAATTTATAGAACTTTTATATAATTTTTAAATAATATATGTCACTTTCATTGTTTTAATATATGTAGCATAAATAGAATTTCAAGAGTCAATGCGTTGTTAATTATTGAGATTTGTAATACTTTTTACGTAGTTTTTAAGTAATGCATGTTGCTTCTATAAAAAAATTCGATTGATTCATAAAATTAATCTATTTGTGTCACATAAAATGAGACAAAAGAAGTAACATATATTATTTAATTTGAAAACTACATAAAAAGTGTTGTAAATCTCAAATCTCAACTATTAACAACATAACGACTCTTCAAATTCTATTTGTGATACATATATTGGGACAAGGTAAGTAACATATATTATTTAAAAATTACGTAAAAGTCCTATAAATTACAATAATTAACAACTTAAAATATTTATTATATTAAACTTTCTAAATTTTATTTATATCACATAAAATGAGAACAAAAAAATAACAAATATTGAGTTTGTGCTAGAGCACTAAGGAGAATAAGCTACCACCTCTCTGTCAACACGTCTGTTATTTGGAATTAATATTCAATCTGGGGTTACTTTTGTCAATTCATCCTTTTGTAAGACACGTGTAGCTCTTTGAATAAGACACATGGTCACTTTACAACCCCTTCTTTGCATCTAAAGTTAGTCCTAACTTAATTATTACTATGTCAATTAAACTTGCGGGCCCTGCTTGTATCTCACTTGGATTACTATTATTGTGAAAATTCTACTATCAGTGTCACAAAATTGAAATAGATGGAATAACATATCTTATTTAAAAATAACGTAAAAGTATTATAAATCATAATAATTATCTATTAAAAATATATAAAAGACATCAAAATTTGATAATTCTCGAAATTTTATCAATGCCACATAAATTGGGATAGGAATAACCTATATTATCTAAAAATTATATTAAAAGTGCTATAAATTATAGTAATTAATAACTTAAAATATTTACAAATCATAAAAAATTAATTGACTTTCAAAATTTTATTTAGATCACATAAATTGAGACAAAATAAATACTCTCTTTGTCTAACAATAGTTGTCCACTATTAACTTGACACACTCCTTAAAAAATAATAAATAATAAGGGTAATATTACTATATTATCCTTTGACTTTATTAAATTTAATACTTTGAGAAATATGTTAGATGATAAATAGTATTTACTTATAAGGGAAAATAGATATAAAAAGGTAAATTATCTCTTGATTTTCTAAATTGGACAAATATTATTGGATAACTATTTTTTAGTATAATAGACTACTATTATTGGATAGAGAAAATAACATTTATTGGGCCGATACTGGCACGAGCTCTATTATCTAGTATATATATATATATAACAATATTTATGATTTTCGCTTTATTTTTGTATGACAAGTACTGAAAACTAGAATTTTCTTTTTCGTTTCAGGAATGTAAAATATTTCTACTAAATTTCTGTTGATGAGTTGTTTTTCATTTCTTTGTTTAAAAAACATAGGATGTAATGTAGATGTTGGTTACAAATTGTGATTCATGTTGCATTGAAATATATTTGAGCTTTAGTTTGTGTCCACTTCAATATAGATGAGTCACATTTATTAAAAAGAGATTTAGAATTCTCTAGAGCAAATTCAAATTTAGTTGGGTGTCAATTCAAATGCAGGTACCAGAAACTTAGAATAACAAGAATGTCGCAGCCAGACAAGACAACACGCAAAACAAATTGAGCATCATGCAAGCCCATTCTCGTTGCAATATGGGCAAAACTCAAATTGATGAATTCCATATAAACAAGTCATTCTAATATGTTACATATACCAATGATAAGACAAATAAATCCATTGATAGAACTACAAGCCAAAGATAATTATCACGATTTTTACTTAGATAATCCAAGTCAAATGACTTAGTTAGTAGATGGTAAAGTAAAACACTAAGGAGCCGTTTAGTAGGATATATTAAATCATATAGTCCTTGTATTAAAATTTAGTGCACCCAATACAATATTTGATTGCATAATTCAACTCAAACACACCTAATATATGGATAACCTAATAAACCATATGTGATTTTATCTAATATCTAGAATATCTACCCAATACAATGTTTGGTTGCACAATTCAATTCAAACACAAACACACCTATCTATGGATAACCTAACACACCATAAGTTTTATCTAATACCTAGAATATCTTAGGGGTCGTTTGATGTTAAGGATAAGAATAAAAGTCTTGAGATAAAAAAAATAAAAAAATCCTGGAATAAAAATTTGGTATCTTGTTTGGTTGTCATGTTTGGGATAGCTTATCCCACCATTTAGAGGTCGTTGGTAGACCGCATTAAAACAAATAGTTCATGTATTATGTATGGTATTATTTAGCACTACGTTTGGTAGGAATTTGGGCTTATGTATAACTAATCCAAGGATTAGTTATACCTCCTACATGGTATTATAGGATGTATTACTAATACCTTCCATTTGGAGGGATTAGTAATATAGGATATAATACCATGGGATAAGTTTATGTAAAGACAAAAATATCCCTCAACTCATTTTAATTATTTTGTTTATTGTCTTGATTTATGGTTTATATTTGTACTAGTAAATTTATTTAAATAGATTAGCTTACAAATTATTTAGAGAAAGTTGTTTGTCACTAGATAAATCCAATACAAATTGATACAATATTTAAAATGTGAGTTGTTTAACATAAACTAATTAAAAGAGCAAATATCTAACCACATGACGTTTGTGATCTTAATTGAATGTATATAAATATTTGTATTTTGAACAATTTATAAAATTGCATATATATTAAAACTACAACTTGCAATTTTTATGTGTAAATGTAGATGATTTATTCAATTTTACTATTGTTTGCCGTCTTTTCAATTTTAAAAGTTGATAGTTTATCTTTTTTTTAAAAAAATTAAAAATTGACATTTTGTAAGTAATCAATACTAAGATGACAATTATTTATCCTCAAATAATTTAAGTGGATAAAAAAAAGGCAAACATGACAACAAAATTATTCTTTCTCATAACTAGTTAGAAGGCCATAAAAAATAATATTGTCCGGCAATTTATTTACCTTAACTCAATTACATAATAATTCAAGGGTATAATTGAAAAGAATTTTTTTATAAAGTTTCAATCCAAGCATAAGATGAGTTGGGAAACAATGAACCAAACACTTGGTAAAAACAAACCATGCATTACTAATCCCAGCATTAGTAATCCCTGCATTATTCATCTTTGCACCAAACGACCCCTTTACCATAGTGATGGATAAGTTATCTCAGAATAATTAATTTTGGGATAACTTGTTCCCAACCAAACGATAAGGGATTTACTAATACGGGTTTAATAATACTTGGATGATACAACAAAATGATTGAAGTGCCCCTCAATTCTTTATATAATCTTAAGAATTGAAAAAGAAACATCCTATTTCTCAATTATAAACAAGCCTAAATATTATCCAATTTTATACTTCAGTTGTGCAATTGAGAAATAATGTTTCAGCGATGATCTTTTTTTTTTTTTTTTTGTTAATATGTTGAGGTGGGGGCTCCTTTATTCCAATGTGAAATCTGTACAAACTGGCCCAATTGAGCCCAAATGAAAACAACAAGCAAAATATTTGTCCCTAGTCCAAGGAAGACCGACTGCCTATGCCTAGAATCTAGGATTTCCTAATTTGAGCTCCACTTCTTTCGTTTCAGCGATGATCAAATTTTGCACCGAACTAAAAAAAATAACATCTTTTTTTTTGCTCATTCACTAGGTGCTTACATACATAATTTGTCAAATTAACATATAAACTTTTAAGCAATGGAGTGTAACTGTAGTATTGCACTTTGCTGCAAACTTGAAACACCATGTTTTCTCACTCACCTAGTGTATGGTTAGCAGTGGCTAGAAGTATTGCTTATTCTACGCAGTCCTAGCCAATTATATGAACTACAAAATTTCATAATAATTAAGGGATATAATTGGAAAGAATTTTTTTTTGTAAAGCTTTAAACCAAACACAAGACTAAAAATATTCCCTGAATTACTATAAACCTTAATTGTTTTTCACCAGAAACTCCACATTATACTAGATGCAAGAAAAAGACAAAAAGTACAACAAAGGCACTAATCATATTTTCAGAACTTTTTGGAGGGAGAGCAACTTCAACTACCCATTACAATAATATACTAAAATTACAATATACTTTACAACAACCAGTTGGTTACTTTTACAAAGCCCCACCATCCACTATGCAAAGGATAAAGGGAGTCCCCACAATCCCACAACAAAATGGTGGAAGAAGAGCAGCTAATCATAGATAACTTTGAAAAAGAAGCTCACCTCATCCGAAAATGATGCTAATTGATTGGGTGCTTTCATACGTTTACCTTTGTCCAAGGTATGATGACATCATGCCTTGTTTGACGAAACTCCAGAAAGGTAATAAAAAAAAAGGGCCAATGGTTGGGATAAAAGCAAAAGTTGTGGCATCTGACATTGATTGCATTGCCACCAATTACACAGGAAAATACAAATGGATGGTAGGTAAGGATACAAAGGAGGGGGGACATAAGGCTATTAGGAGTTCTCAGAGGCACGTGCAACGAATTCAAGGTCTATGATGGGGCTGCCGCTTCAGGCTTGACCAGTGACTGGTCATCCGGTTGCTGAGTAGGATAGATGAGCGCAGCAAGTGATATGGGCATGATGCAGAGTGATTTAGACTGAAGGTATTGCATGGCTGCACCGACGTCTTCCTCCATGAGCTTAGCAACCTCTTGTTCTGTGTCGACATTGGACCACTTATCCCATATATGCTGGTTGGATCTACTTTCACCACTGTCCCCCTAAGATAGAGAAAAAACAAGAAAAATTTCAACTCAAGCTATTAGACACT